AGTGTCTGTTGATGGACATGTAACAGTCAGCATTAGCGTTATGAGAGGAGGCAGTAGTTTTCCCAGTATGAGATCAGGGATGTGTGCTGTGTATGACTTCTTAAATATTACTTTATCTTAAAAAAAAAATTAAAAAAAATGCTGGACTCAAGTCTAGGTCATGAAAGGGTTGTGGGCAGTTAAGCAGTGTCTCCTAATCACTGGCTGTCAAGGGCTGATTTATAAAGAAGTTTCTCAGAGTTTTACCCCATGCTCTGTTTCTGCATCTTGCTCTTACCAAAGCCATAAAGAGTCTGTAGTTAGCATTTCTCTGAGGCACTTTCTGAAGAGTCCTTGTGTTGCACTGACTGAAATAGTTTGGTCTAGCTCGGAAGAGAACAGATGCATCATTTGGGGTGGGGGGAGATGACTCTGTGCTTCCCAGCACACCTGGCTTTGAGGACAGAGCACTCCTGGGGGGGTTCATCCTATAGCAAAGCTGCCTTAGGCAGTGTCTGCTACATTCAAGGCCCGTCAGTGTTATCCATTCTGAAATTACTGAGAAAGAGTAGAAGGCTATGCCCTTCCTGGTGAAGTGTTACCCCATTAGCTCTCAACTTCACAATCTAGGGAGTCCTTAAAGATACTTGCATTTGCTTGGAAATGTGCCTGCAATCGCAGAAAGTGGCTCTCCAAGGCTTCTACACCAAAATCATAATCTTTGTTTCTAAGCCATAAAACATGAGAATTTATTTAAGATAAAATCCTGTCTTTCTCCCTGCTGTTCTCCTGATTTAAGGCTGATCTGTAATCCGTGCTATGATAAATCACTGGCAGAAGCCATTCTTAGTTGTTCAAAGTTTTCAAAGAATCCTGTTTACCCTTCTCACTGTTCCACCCTCCTGTCCATACATTTGTGCTACCTTCCTAGATTCTCTTACCTTCAACTTAAAACATGTTTTTATTAAGCTAATGTTTGTTAAAAGTGCTTAACCTTGGAAATACACATGATTTAATAGTGCTCTGGGAACAAAAGCAAAGGGCAGCCAGGTTTCATGCATGGTAGGCAAATGATTTCTATCACAGTAAAGTTTTGTAATATCCAGCAAATATCCCCATATTTCTCAATACAGCTTCTGGGTTCAGGGAAAAACACAGTAGACTTTCTACTATGTTCCTTGTGTTGCCTCTTAAGTAGATGAGATAGTATAGCAGCAAATCAAATGGTAGGATATCTGGGAGAAAAGCATGTTTAAAAAAGCTGCAGTCCTCAGAACTATATACAAGTGGTCTGGGATTGTCCTGCTGCCAGTCTCCTGTCTACCTTGTGTGCCTCGCTGATCTGGTGAACGTGCTTCCTGCACTGGACACTTGGAATAAGTAGGGACATTAAAACAGTGTTAGCTGTGCAAACCTTTCACTGAGGAAACAACCTCTGATTTAG